TTGAATGTTATATTAAGTGAAAAGCATTTTCATCTCTCAACTTGCCATATGTATGCTTTGTATGTTTGTATGTTTTCTGCTTCATGAAACTTTCATCACTATCAGGTTTACAGTACACGCTGTACCAAATTCTGATCCCAAGATCCAGCCTGGAAAGTTGGATTAAAAATTGGAAATCCCCGCAGAGTTAAGAGAACAAGGAACTTTTTACATCTGCTTCATCAATTGCACACCCAAAAGGGTCTTCACAATGTTGCATTACACTCTGTTTTCAAAGAGGATTTTCTATTAGTGGTTGGCATTTTTTTAAATATTTGGCATGCTGTGCTATTTTACATTCTTAAGATATGGAAAATCACAGCTGTTTAGTCCAGCAATTTTCCTTATGCATAGTATTTCACTACTTACATAGTGAATCACACTGTCATCACAAAACTGCCTATACGTAACACAAGCGAGATAAACTTTATCAGAAAGCTTGGTTGAAGTCACGGTCAGCCTTCCTACTGTGTAGACGTAGTTCATCTTTAATTCCTCCACTTTCCTCCACGAGTACCTCTCCATATACAGACAGTGCAAACTCTTGTTGAAACCCTACTTTCTGTCAGTTCGAGTTTGCCAAATTCAGGTCTCAGAGAGAAGAAAAGTTCACACTTTCTCAGTTAAGTGTGAGCTACTACAGATGGTTGAGCTTGTTCCCTGACACTATTATCTGTACAGCGCTGTTACTCTGAGCTTGAAGCACATATTAAAACTAGACAAATCTGCTATATAATCATTAGATCAATTTTATAATAGGGTCCCAGGTATTTAAACAAACCAAGAGTTAGTTTCTGACCCATCTGCTGTAATATCATGTATTTATGTTGGCCTCAAACTCTTCAGGTGAGAGCAATTACTTTTCATTAGATGCCAATAATATAAACAAAGGGTAAAGGAAGGTAAATGCTTTATATAAATGTAGAACAAAAATTAGAAGTGGGACTTTATATAGGAAACACAGCACTTGAAATTTTTTTCAGGATTTAGGTAATTTTAATTTTTCATTAGCAAAACTACTGCAAAGGAGATGCTTTCAATAAAAAGGCAAGAATGCAGGACACCAAGAAACCACGCGTTAGCAGCAGTGTCACTCCAGAATCCCAAAAGTCTACAGACTGGGTTCCTGTTCAGGACAGAAGCTTTACCATGGTGTTACACAAGCCTTTTGACCATGGTTGCCCTGCATGGTTTTACATGAAGGTATAAGACATCATTAATGACTGTTTGACAATTTAATGCTAAAAATGTAAGAGTTCGTTTCTTAATCTTCATTCTCCTAAAGCCCCATTAGAAATATTATACCTGATTTTTGTTACCATGAACTAAATATATTGGTAGCACTTAAAAAAATGCCTGATCATCAACAGCAAATTACTTTGAAAATATAGTAATTCTACATATGTGAAAGCATTTTAAATATTATTTCTGAATTTTTTTTGATTGGTAACTCCAAACTGCCCATTGCTCTCAGCTCACTGACAGGAACGACAATATCCCATCAGCATACTGAATCCAATTTTGTCTTTTCAAATTTCTTAACTGAATATAAATAACAGTAACTTTTGTTATTTTCATTATAGCCAAAGGAGATCTTTAAAGCATTTTTAAAAAGCCTTGTAATTTGTTTGTACAATAAGTGAATCAACGGACTAGTAAATCAGTTCTTTGTAAGGGACAAAAGGAAAATGTACAACCTCTAAATGCAAATAAATGTTTCTAAAAAATAAATCAGTATTTTTGTCTCTTAGCTACATTTTCTCCTCCCTACTTCTACCACTAACTTTTTTCATATCTGCTATACTAGACTTCCCCCAAAAAAGGACTTGCATTTTTGCTTAACCGACTTCAGGATTCTGCTTATAGTAAAATATGCTTACTGTACTAACACAATTCTTTTCTTTACCTATACAGGCACATACAGGAGCCAAGAACCCAAAAGACAGAAAATATCTACCAAATCATAAATATATAAGAATTCATTGCCAACAAACATTCTAAAATAATTTAATTCTAAAGCTACACTTTCACTTAGTGATCCTCATATAGTTCTGACCCCCTGTTAAGCTGTATCTGTATCTGCTAGTTATATTCAAATGTATGATTAAATCATACTTAGTATAGAAACATTCCTAGGTTCACCTATACAGTTTTAAATCATTGTTCCGTTCAGTTCAGCCTGAGTATTTTAAATAAGCTCTGGTTTTATTTCCAGAAGATTAGAGATGAAAAATGGGAGTTTTCTGGATAACATAACAGTCCATTTTATCCCAAAGGACACATTTAACTAATACAGGATTTTCCACACAAGAGGGGAGAGTAAAATAAATGGTGTATGAATAGAACAATTTCCATGAAAAAAATTACATAGGCTATTAGATTTGAAACAGCCAACATATATGAGATTACAGAAGTAATTAAAAGAGAAAATAGAAATTTTGCAACAAATTTAATACCACTATATTATGTACCTTGTTATCTACACACTTGAAAACCTCATAACATATGAAAAAGACCTTGAAATACAGAAAATCCAAGAAGTAGCAAAGGCCATCAATTTCCAATCATGTTTTAATTTCTCACAGTGATCAGTACTTTACGGAAAGTATATGAAAAGTAGCATTTTGATCATGAATTCGCACTCACAAAGTTTAACATCTTATCTGCATGAATTATTATTAAAAAAACCCCACATGTCTGTAGTAGTACTAAAAATTTAAAAAGGTAAATAATGCATTCCCACTCAAAGAAATGATGGGCAGGGGGACATTTTACATAAGAAAAAAGTCTCAAATTCATACAACTGCCATTGAGAATTTTTAAACACTATTTTCTATTGCATTTACAATAAAAATATTATGTTTCTTCTTACAGAAGAGTAATTTGTCACCTTTATTTCTGAGAAGAAATAAACAAAAAAGTACTGTAAGTCTAAATGAAATCAAGTATCTAGCCATAAATGGGATTATTTCAATGCTAGTAATTATATTATGCTTCCCTTAAAATAAGAAGTCCATCTCTTTAAGGAAGTCTCTGTAGACTGGTATTTTCTACACAAAAACAGGTAACTGCATTTGTTCATCTTGCTCATGCCCACACTGCTCATGCCTGTCATTCTTCCCCATAAGACTCAGTAACCTCTATTTTTTTCTTATTATACCCAGGTAGTCTGAAGTAGTTGTCCATTCTTTGAATGTTCTTACTAAAAAACCCAAACACACTTCCTCACCATACTCTCAGTCTTGGGAATCATTTAAAAATGAGAAGTGTGAAGTTGCTACGTAAAACATCAGCATTTTCTTTGTGTAATTGTGTTGACCTCTTATTTGTCTGTATGTCTATATTCTTAATCTGCTAAGATTCTGCAAATACAGACCTTGATTAAATAATAGGTGAAAACAACCTTAAGATATTCCTGCTACCAATTTATATGCCTTCTTAACATTCATCATTAAAATATTTAGGCTGAACAGTAATAAGGTATGTTTTTGAGCAGGTTCACCTACTGCACAAACACAACTGGATATTAGTTTAGGAAAAAGATGAAGTTCAAAAGTGATGGAATCAAATTCAAATCAGAAATTACAATATTACTGTATAAGTGAGAAGTGAATAATAAAACTTATTTTAAAATATGGCACTCATAAATTACACTACACTCGTTCTTAAAAGTTCATCTCCCTGTCTATTTTAAAAGTATATGGCTGATTTACCAAAATAACCAAAGCAAAAAATGTGAAGCCAAACCAAGAGACGAGTTAACACAGTCAGTGAAACTTAAATGTATTCCTTTAAGTGATTTAAGAGACAAGTGTTTTCCCCGCAACATAACACGTATGTTTCTAATGGCTTTCTCATGAATTCCATTAGATGTATTAGAGAAAATGAGGCACCAGCTCAAAAGTTCATCTAGCCCACCTAGTCTAGTGTTAGCACTTTGCAAGTACCCAGTATGTTAAAGGAAGAACAAGAGCATACGCTTCAAGTAGAAAGTAACAGCACACTGAAACAAAAAAGTCTAACTACAGTATTTTGCTAAGCTTCTAATTTTCCAGTATTTACCTTTTCGTCTGAAGAGCAATAAACTCTATAAAGCTGAATAAACTATATACCGCAAGAAAATACATGACGCAATTTTTTATTTTAAGGAATCCTATACATTGTAACAATCATTTTTTAAGTATATGGAGCAGAAATTTGAATATCCTAGTTCTGACAGGATTAGATAAAACTTGAAAAAGGAGACAAAACATAAAATGTAGAAGGATTTGTTACACCTCTTAATCAGTTGAACTATATAAAGCAATCCGCTCTTGTATTCATATTTAAAATCTCAGTGGGTATTTGGGGACAAGGCATTTAATAAAATCGAAAAAGAAAAAATAAACATAGGCATTGCTACTGATTTATTAAGCCTGCAGCTTGACTTTGTAATTTAACGGCTATTTGGAAGAACAGTCAAATCCATTTATTATTATTATGACTTGAAATAGTTCAGTGAAACTTGAAATACTTCCATAAATCTCAGGAAGCCAAATTCTGCATCTTGAAAGCAAGAAAAATTCCATGACTTCGAAAACAAAATGAAGCCAAAATAAATTATTATCTGCCTATCATTAGCTCATATCCACAAAATCTTCCTTTGAATAGCATTTACACTTTTTAAAACAAATTGTGTAATACACAAGATTTTTATGGAACTCTACCTACTTGGAAAGACTAACTGATAAACAGTAAATAATAATAGCAAATAATGAAGGTAAAACAAATAATACTAGTAAAATCAAGTAAGAAAGAATTTAGTTAGTATTCACTGTAATATTTAAACAGAGTTCCCAAAACATAAAACATTACTACAGTGATAACATTTTTAAACATCAGCAATAAATAAAAGGTATGTCCTTAGCAGTGCCTAAAAAGATATATTTCAGATAATTAGGAACAATGGCATCATATAGTACCTTCCATTGCCCTTTTAAAGAAGACTTTACAACTTCCACAGGTAAGCACTCCGTAGTGGCAACCAGAAGCCTCATCACCGCAGATGAGACAAATCTTCTGGGGTAGCGATTCAAAACCGTACTGAGAGCTTTGGCTGGTTTCTGTATCTGGCCTTCAAAAGAAAAAAGAATTAAGAGAAATGAAATATCCAGTTTTGCAACAATTAACTACTTACCTGTATAAATTGTGTTTATGCTAAAAACTTCCTTTTGAAATCTGTAATCAAGCTACAGAAGGGTAAGAAAAAACTAAAGTGACTGGCTTTCTGCTTAAGGGTTTGTCTCTACTAGGGCAACAGGCGCATTTCTAACATCTGCCTAGTCATTAAACAGAAAAGTAGCGGGCAAAAAGCATACTAGTATTTCAATCCGTTTTAGCTAAAAAAGGTACAATCTAGGAACTCTTGGTTAAAATGTTCATCTTCCTCGTCAACAACTCTTGTGAGTAAAGTCATACTGACTGATACTCTTTTTTCCTGTACACAGAATGGTACAGAGACAGAATCAAACAGAAGTTAACTGAATTTGAAAAGTCCCTTTCACATGGGAAACAACTAAATTTCATCTCAGCTAGAAAAATCTTTAATATTTGTCACTTCTCATTCAGCTGTAGCATTCTCCTCAATAACTAACTATCATGAACACATTGAGGAAAGCAGAAAGTACTTCCGAATTTCTCTCCAAGAAAAGAGACTCAGCTACCTAATCAGTATGTTTACAAAAATCAAGGATTTCCGTTGAAACTGTAGCACTGTATATATGTATTTTTGCATACATTTCTAGGTAATGCACAACATGTTGGCATCATAGCAAGCCATTTCGTTCTAACAAATCGATATACAAGTGTTTCAGTTTTATTTTTCGTGTGAAAGTAACTGGGTTTTTTTCCAAACCAGGGATAATGTTTCGGAGAATCTTTAGGTATTTATGAGTATTGGCTCGCTGTCAGTGAGGCCAGCCTGGAGAACACTCTGCTCCCCCTCTCTGGAGCCGGTCACTTGCTCAGACATCAGACGGCACTGAACCACCACAGCGATAAAAACGAAATTTCTCCCTGAGCGTGTTGGTGCCAAAAAGATCTGAGAGGTGCCAGCGGCAAAGCGAACACCGGGCCGCCTCACGCAGACCTGGGACACCCAGGCGTGCACAAGCACCACAGAAGATGGACACGCGGCTGCAGTTAACTGCCTACAAACTCCGGCGGGGCTTCGCCGAGTAAAACTGCGCCCGCCTTTGCCTCGGCGCCTTCCCTTGGAAGCGCCAACCCCTCACCCGCGGCACCGCCGCCCTTCCCGAGCAAGAGCGCCCGAGCTCTCCCGCGGAGCAGCGCGGCCCCGCGGCCCGGCCCCTCGGCGAGGGCCGCCGCGCCAAAGGGCCCGCCGCCGCCCGCCGCCCCCCCCTACCGA